CCCTTTTATTATTTGAGCCTAGATCTCCTACCCACGAGAACCCTGCCCACATTTATTGCAGCCACACATGGAGAACATCTCATCCTCTGCATAGTATTATGCAAGGGGAGATGTTCCCAATTCACGGGTGGTGGTGTATTGTGGGTAGGCATGGGCATGGTTCTTGTGGGTAGGAGATCCAGAGTGCTATTGTTTATCTTTCGCTTAATAAATCCCATGCATCGCACGGGTCCCCGCTAGTCTTTTATATGATACAATATTATTGCATGGGACCGGAGGATGTATGGGAGTTTTGTGATGATCAGAGACAGAGTTGTCGAAGCACAACGCTGTTCAATTGTCTACTAAATCATTGTTGAATTTCTTTGAACATGAACATCTATCTATTCCCCCTTTAAAAATAAATTTYAAAACTCAAAGTTAGTTCAGTGTGATACCAAAGTTATCTCAGTCCCAACAACATGCAATTGCAGAGATGGGCGTACTCTTGACACTTGAGGTGGGTAACTGGCAAGAAAACCATCGTGGGGTTGGAGAAGCATCCAAAAAGGCAAGAAAATCCTTCAAAAATGTTTGTTTTGGAAGATTAATAGAGGAGTTGGAATAAATCCTTGGGTTGACCCTTGGGTTCCTGGCCTAGAGGGCTTTAAACCAACGAGTTCGAGGCCTGGTCCCGATAGTCCTGCAAAAGTGGCAAATCTAATTCTTCAACAAAAGAGAAGATGGGATGTCAGGAAAATCAATAGTTTATTCACCCCTTTTGAGGCACAAAAGATCCTAGAAATAGATCTGGTTAACCTTGTATGGAAGGATAAATTAATTTGGGYTCTAAATAATAAAGGCAGATTTATGATGAAATTAGCCTACTTACTAGCTAAAGAGCATTTGATGATGAGCAAAGGCTCCAACATAACTGATATAGAGGTTTGGAATATAATTTGGCATCTGCCCATGGAACCAAAAATTAAACACTTCATCTGGAGGTGTTTTCATAACGGCATTGTTGTATCTGATAACTTCTTTAAGAGAAAAATCATTAATTCTCCTTCCCGTCATAGATGCAACAGAGACCCTGAGACCACCTCCCATCCTCTCTTGCTCTGTGACAGAGATAGGTGCATCTGGTTGGGGGCTGGAGTGGGAATCAAACCTCATAGTCTATCAAATAACACCCCCTTCCATAGCTGGTTCGGCTGTACAGTCAAAGACCTAAGGAAGTCAAATCGAGAAATAGTTATAAACCTCATCATTTGTCTTTGGCACATGTGGAAAGATAGGAATGTTCTCCTTTTTTATAATGAATCCCCTAACATCTGGTCTATGGTCTCTTCTATTTGTAGATCAATAGCGGAGACATCTCAGCACTGGCAAAAGAGATCAACAAGCTGTTCACAGACTAGAACAAATGAAGTCTCTCAAGTTTCTTGGCATCCTCCGATCCAGGGATATCTAAAATTCATTGTTGATTGTGGTTTTTTATTTAGTGGAAAAGCCTCTTTTGATTTTTTGTCAAGGGATTCTTTTGGTTTTTATTGGTGTGTGAGAGGTAGCCCTTTGTTAGATTCTTCTATTTTGATAGCGGAAGCAAAGATACTGCTAGAAGTTGTTCGTTTTGCAATGAGATAGAACTTAAGTTCAATTGTGTTTGAATCTGATAGCTTGCAATTGATAAACAGTTTAAGAAATTTCAGTGTCTCTTGCAATAAGGATATCCTCTTCATCTATAAAGAGATCCTTACCTTTGGAGAAGGAAAAAACTTTAATTTTAGTTGGGCTCCCAAGATTGTGAATGAGATTGGCCTCTTTTGTGCTGAAGGATCTTTTCACCATCAAAATCCCCCCTGCAGGAGTGTTTGACTCAGTTCCCCCCTCCTCTAATCTTTAATTTAGCATTTGTTTTCTTTCTCTTCTTTCATGCTTTTGGTTTTTTTTTTTTTCCTTTTGTATTGTCTCTCCTTTAATGAATGACTGTTTTCTACCCAAAAAAAGAGGTGGCTAACTGGCTACGCTCCTTTGTATTAAAATTGACCAGAAACTGAACACCAATAATGATCTAACTCAAGGAATTAATCATTTTGGACGTAAACTCAGGTCTCTGTGGCGGTGTTAGATCGTTCCGGAAACAAAGCAAAGCAGTGGCCACTGGGTCTCACAACCCCTGAGACACCCGTGACTCGCTTACTTTTAAAGTTTTAATGACCCCTACTTCACTTTCAACCTTCACATGCACTTGTTTAGACAAGGCGACAAAGCTACGTACAAAAATCATGAATTTATGATCCCAACAAGCATTCACTTCAATACCCATTTTGCCCTTGCTCTTTTATTCCACAAAACTCTTTTCATTTTAATCTCTTCACTCTAAATTAATCCCCCATCTCTCTCTCTCTCTGTGTGGAGCCAATCACCAAAGTTCTCCGGACGGACAGCCAGTCGGCCACCATGTGACTGAGGACTGAATGACTTAGAGCCCAGTTGGGTTTGCAGGGACGATGGGGAGACAAACCATTGCTTACTTCTTTCTCTGTCAAAAATTCATTAAGCACATATGTCCCTTTTAGTACGTACGTTATGTCCACCGCTTACAGCTGCAAGTGAATCATCCATGAATTAATAGTTTAGAAGACTGAGAAAATCATATAGGTGTATCATGGTTTACAGTTAGTTATTTAGGTAAAAATAACACCACAACTATTTATGGAAAATGCAGGTTACGGTAAGAAGCCATGAAGGTTCCTCCTTTTCTAAAGCGTCTGTACATATATTGATATATAAAAGAACCGTTGTTTGTATTAAAATCCCATAATATACTCTTTGGCAACATCGTTTCCCTTCAAAACAATATACTCTTTGGCAAAATAATATACTCAAAGGCCGTGGGGTGATATCCTGGGAGCATGGCCAAATTTTGCAACATTTGTCTTGTTTTTTTCATTTTATTGCAATCCAATAATGAATTATATTATTAGCTTTCAAGCATAGAGCATGGCCAATTTGAGACATATTTTTCTTATTCTCTTTTTTTTTCTGCATAAATATAGGCTACAGTGTCATGTATGTCCCCTCTAAAACTATAAGGAGTATAATTTGAGCACAAATAAAAGTAAAAAAAAAAATGCAAATGGAATAATATCATGCCTATCGAGCCCCAAAAGAATGTTTATTCTGAGGGACAATGGATATGGCACTTTGGTGAAACGTGGCACTGTTTTTCTGAAAAATGGCATTGATGTCAAACATCCCATAATTGGGACAAAGCTTAGATGATCATGATGATGAGACGAGGAAAATAGGTTTATTCATTGAAAAATGATACAAGGATGACAGAAATTGATTAAGATGGATCGACCGATCTTAATTATAATTAGACTTTAAAAATGGGAAGATGAAGACTTCGGTGGTGTTTAATAAATCTGAAATAAGAAAACAGAAAAGTTAAGAAAATATTAAAAGTGTTTGAAATTTGAAAAGAGACATAGGTGCTTTTCGACTTTTTAGAGACACTGAATAGAGAAGGTTGTTTGTTTTGGATCAAACCTTTAGAATCTGAAATTTCCTAATTTTATTATTTTACCCCTAAAATAGACTATTTGGTAATTTTGAGTTCAATTTGTACTATTTCATACAAAATAATATTAAAAATATGAATGAATTATAAAAAATAAAAAAAAAAATAATTTATTAAAATAAGAATAAAATTGGAAATACATATAAATTTATAAATTATTAAAAGTTAAAATAATAATGAAAATAGTAATAAAGTCCATGAAGCAATAAAAAATAATAATTAGCAAATTAATATCTTAAAAGTATTAAAATATTTAATCATTAATAAAAGTTAAAATAATTAATACAAATAAAAATTATAAAAAAAATAAAGAATAATAATAATTTATTAAAATAAGAATAAATTTGGAAAGTATGTATAGGAAGACAGGGGAGAGGGTGTTAATCGCCACTACTGAGAGTTGCATCGGCGGTGGCAAGAAGACTAGGGAGAGAGACTACAAGCGGCTCATCACGGAAGAAGTACATATTGATTTCCCTCTTTCCTTTGCGTGGGATATGAACTCGACCGTAGAGGTCAAAGTTTAAGCTGCCATTGAAGGGATATTGCCATAACCAGTTTGTGGTGCCTTCGCCATCACGTTGCCGAGAGTAGCATCAACATTCCTAAACTTTCCAACCTTCACAGGTCTGTGGATCTGTGAAGCAAAGGATGTAGAGAATGTCAAGGAAGAAGAAGAAGAAGAGGAAGAGAGGGGGAAAGAGAGAGAGAAGGGTGGAGGGAGAAGCTTGTATTGCTGGTTTGTCGTCAAGTGGAGAAGAAGAAATGAGAGAGAGAAGGCCAGAGGGAGAATGAGGGGCATTATGAGTATGGACATTTTTGTCTTTCAACATGGTTTAAAACGCATTTGAGCACATTAAGTCATTGACCCACCTCTTACAAATTAAGATCTGAAAATGCATTTCAAATCCCTTTTTGAGATTCAACACAGACATAGGTAGCATCTAAAAAATCAACATTTTAAGACTTCAAAAGTCTGAAAAGTATTATCAAACACCAACTTAGGCATGATCTTAAAACTGTCACGTTGATTTTATTTCGACCCCCACATTGTTATTTAAAAAAAAAAAATCATTGAATTAATCATCAAGTCACTTGATCTGAATAACGATTTTTGGGCCATTTTTTATTTTATTTTTTATATATTTAAAAAAATAAAATATCGGGGCTGTTTTTTTTATAAGATTGGGGGAAGGAGTACAAATACAAATATGTAATATTTTATATTATTTTATATATTTGAAGTGTCATATGTACTCCTTCCGGACCGAGCATTATGGAATCCGGACAATAATTTTCCTTTTATTTCAGGAGAAAAAATGACGAGGTGGTCCGGCCATAAATGAAATTGTTGGGGGTAAATTAGTCATATTGGACTCAAAGTTGTCCTGGTCGCCGATGTCATGATCAGGAGTTTTTCTGGCTGGCGTCAGTGAAAAAGCTCCTTCCAGCGTAACGTTCGAATCCACAGGGTTGGTTTTACTCTCTGAGTTCCTGAGAACTTCTTAAACAAGAACATCTACTCCTGATTCGCCGTGGATATATACATAAGCTAGGGTGTTCTTGGATCTCACATGTCTGAAGACTAGCTAGCAAGTCTTCTCCACTGAACCTCTGTGTTTTCTTCGAAATGGCGGTTTGTCCGTGCGAGGAGGTAAATGCCTTCTGCCCTTCTCTTCTTCTCGTTTTCTCTTCTTTCTTCTAAAGCTTTCAGTTTTTTTTCACTCGATGTACACAGACCGAGCGTTTCTTGAGCTAAAAATCCTGGTTTCCGTGCTTCTTCCTGATTGATGTTTGGCTCATTTTTTGTGGTACTCTGGTTGGGTTTTTTAACCTGTAATTACTTCGTTTATTCTGCAGTCACTAGTTACATCAGCTCTGCTGGTGTTATTCCAGTTTTCTGGTTCAATTTAGCGTTTGTTTGAGTTCAACTTTGTAAATTTGTTAGAGGCTGCAATGCAGCTCTGTAGTTTTTACTACTGAGTTTTGTTCAGGATTATTTGCTACCTTAGATAATCAAAGGAACCTTTTTTTTTAATATTTCTTCAGGAAAAAAGGGAAATGTTCCCTCAAAATTTATGGTCTTCGATGGATTCATTTTAGTTCGTGAGTTTTTTTTTTTTTTTTTTTGGTGGTTTACCGTATTCTAATGTTAAAATCTTGCTAACAGCATGAGCCCTTTCAGGTAAAATTTGGTTATTTTTTCATGAACATCAGAATTTTCTCTCATTCACGCAGAACATGCAAATTCCAATTATTTTATTCCTCCTCCACTGAAATCATTGTCTGATAGTGTTTGTACCTCGGTTTTCCTTAATTTACTGGAATATTCCTCTTCCACCTCGGCTTTCTGCACTGAAATTGTTGTTTCAATTTAATATTCTCATTATTATGTTCTGACTTTTTTTATTTTTTCCTTCAAATACTAATTGCAGTTAATTTCACATTAAAGCAAGTTCTACGTTATTTGGCCTCTATGTATTTCAATATGTTCAATTAATACTGTATCATCTTCCAACGTTATCATATAACTTGGTTCTCCTAATTCATTGTATTCAATACCTAAAGAAGCTGTATTTGGAACCAATGTACATGTCTGACTGCCTGTGCCCAAGATACAAATCTCACCATCCTTGCGTTTTTCCTCCTTGAGAAATTTTCTTATGAAGCATCTCCTATGATCTCTCCACCCAATCTTTTGTTGGAATATTATAGATCTTTTCACTTACATGAAGTGCTACAAGAGGCCCAGTGCATGAGGCTCCAGCGAATGCAGGGTCTGGGGAGGGACAGACGTACGCAGCTTTACCCCCTGCACATACAGGGAGGCTGTTCCAAAAATATATAAAATGCTACAAGACTTTCTATAATTTCCGATAGTCCTAGTTAGAAGTTAATTACCCAAATCAACTTCATCCCAACAGAGGTTGGTTTCCTTAAAAATCTTAAAATGGTTTCCAACACTTCCTTTTCTGGGCTTTATGACTGATTGCTATCACATTGTATTTATATGGTAATCAATAGGGTACTTATATATAGTCTGGTGCCCATCTAATATATTAGATCATGTTTTCAATGGTTTTTAATCAGAGCTTGGCTTTGCATGAGTAAATATTACATGTAAACCAGTGGGAGGCGAAACTATTCTTATATGCTTTAGGTGGCAATTGCAGTCTTCCTTTTAGCGGTTTATGTGTTCAGTTCAGTTACTAAAGCCAAGTCCTGATCAGTTAACCAGGAGTACCCTTTAGGTGATTGCACCTCATTGAAGTTGATACCTTTAGTTTCATAAGCATGTTAAAAGGATGTTTTCATTCTTCTCGGTTTTCAGATATTTTTCCATTTCTTGTCAACAAGCCCCCTTGAGACTAGAATGCCCATTCCATAGTTAATATGTAAGTTCGGTGGTCATAGTTTTGAGGCTTAAATGTAGTTAGTTTCACATCCTTGTCATCATTAATTCCATCCTTTGGAAATGAGGTGTTGATTGTAAGAGTACCTGGAACTGACCGTTTGGTAGACCATAAGTGTGGTTTCTTCATGATGTGCATCAAGTTGTATGTATGATTGCACCTCATTGAAGTTGATACCTTTAGTTTCATAAGCATGTTAAAAGGATGTTTTCATTCTTCTCGGTTTTCAGATATTTTTCCATTTCTTGTCAACAAGCCCCCTTGAGACTAGAATGCCCATTCCATAGTTAATATGTAAGTTCGGTGGTCATAGTTTTGAGGCTTAAATGTAGTTAGTTTCACATCCTTGTCATCATTAATTCCATCCTTTGGAAATGAGGTGTTTATTGTAAGAGTACCTGGAACTGACCGTTTGGTAGACCATAAGTGTGGTTTCTTCATGATGTGCATCAAGTTGTATGTATGATTTATTCAATATTTCAATCTACAATACTCTGAAGGTGTAGTTAGGATTGTTTGTCTCCGCTTGTTAAACATGCCACATATCTGCAAATGTAACTTATATTCTGGTCTTTTTTACATTGAAAGTTTCTGGTTTCAGAAATTTACTTGCTACTGCATAATGGACTGAAAATCTGAAACCCCATATCCCTGTATCATTAGAGCAGCTGCTGAACAATTTTCATGGTGGCATAGAACTATTCTGGATAACAGTAATCTTAGCACATTCATTTTGATTTCTCGTTTTGGTCTTACCATCTGGTCCCTGGCAATTTAGCTGTTTTCCTTGACTGGAGATAGGCATTTTAAAGTAACAATGGTATTCAGATCAAATTCATCTTGAAGCTTTTCTATGATTACCTCTTTTGCAGGGTCAAGATGTCTACAGCATCTCAGTGGTTTCTGACAAAGGAAATGCCAATCCACAGTGCCCATTGGATTTATTAAGTTTTACAGAAGTCCCCTTTCTGGAAGAAGGTCAGACCCTCTTGGTTAGGCAGTGGGATTGCAAGAATTGTATCAGTCTGCAGACAGAAAGTACAGATAGATGTTCTCTATTCAGTGTGGATATAGATATTGAGAAAGACAACTTGGAAATAACAAAAACAGAGGATAACTTTGTAGGGTGCTCTGTGAAATCTAAGAATGTGTTAACTGTATGACCTCTTGTCCTTTCTGTGTTATGCCATCTAGATTTCCATGCTTCTAATAGAAGATCTAAGGTGCCATTGGGCAGACAAGGAAGGCTATCAGGAAAATTTTTTCCTTGAGTAGCATTCTAACTAATGCGCACCTTGAGTGTCCTCTACAATGCTATCAACTTATCATCTAACAGCTGGTCAGTATTTGCAGAGGTTGTTTGAGAGAAAGATTGGTATAGCAATTGGAGGAAAGATTATTCAACTTTTAATGAACAATAACCTAATGTCTCTGAGGTTCACTTCTAAAGGTAGGTAAACATATTCAAGTGCTATTTGCTTAGTCTCTTTCTAATGTAGTTGATTTCCTTTATGCCTCTATGCCCAGCCTCTTAATCAAAAGTGCTCCTTCCCTAAAACTAAACCCCAGAGTTAAACATCGGGAATCAACATTTGTTTCTTCAATTAGAGCAACATTTGATCTTGAGATCTCATATGGTATATTAGAATTTTCTTTTAAGAGGAATTGTCTGCATTCTTTTTGCTATTACAAGGCCTTTACTAGCCACAATTTGTAACACCCAACTTATTACATGATTGTTTATAACTTCTTCATTGTTCCCTCRTACTCATTGGCAGACAAGCCAACAACTGAGAGGACTCAGGACACATCCAATAATAGGTGGCGGCGATATAAGCGTGCAGCCTCCTTTGACTCAAGAAAGTTAGTTCTTCTCTTCTCAATATTGTAAGCTTTGAACCCCTCTTTCTGAACAACTTAAATACACATGTTGAGTTCCACTCTTGTTTGTCTAAAGACTAAAAGTATATTAGGCAATAAGCTTACATAAAGTTCTAATGTTGGTTTTTTTATGTTGCATGATGTTAAGATTGATTATCAAGCACATCATTCTATTACGATTTTTATTCTCAATGAAATCCTGTCCTACTATTTATGTTATTGATACATTGTAGAGCAGTTTTAAGGCTCTCCAGTCCATCTTAAATTAGTCAAATTGTCCACTTGACTGCTAACTAGGAACAATCATGGACTATGATAAATCTAAGTGATTGTAGAAGTGTTTTCTAATAGGAGTGATTGTAGAAGTTTTTGTAGTTCCCATCTTCTTTTTATATATTTGATAGACAAATTGTAGCACATAAGCCAACTTTATTTGAATACGATATTCTCTTTTGGTGGTATTCTCTGTATAATGTTTTACCATTATTCATACACCAAAATTAAAACAGAAGAATGTAGATTTTTCTATTCATTAGCTGCTAATATCATTTTACAAATACATTGTTTTATATTTTATCATATCTGCAAATTAACTCCTAAAGCTTCATTTGTATATAATCTCTTTCAGGTCAAGCATGGGTACAATGATGTTGATATATTTGACACTTAGAGTGAAGCAGGTCAATGATGGCATTGTTCATGTCTAGTGCAAGCATCCAGAGGGGGGGTGTGAGAGAGAGAGAGAGTCCTATTCTGTGGATTTTTCCCCGGTATTGCCGTTCCTTTTTCTTTTGCTTTACTTGTTGATGACCCTTGTTATGTACATAAATTACCACTAAATATAAAATGGAGCTTACTTAAAAAGTCTTTGCTAGTTGAGTCTTTTCTCATGGCTTAAAGGGTCGTTTATGGTTTGAAGTCTGAAATTCTGAAGGTTAAAAGATAGAAAATGAATGGCAAGACCTCTAAACATGCATGGCTTGAATTTGTATTGGAATGTCACAGCTTCAAACGATGAAGATTATATTTTGGGGTAATTTGAGTTCAGTCCACCTCAGAATTCATATTGCGATCGTACAGTTCGGGTCAGTGTCAAGAGGGGAAGATTCCCAATTCACGGAGGGGATGCTGTTTATAGGGGGTGGGGAATTAATGAAGGCCTTAGATTTTCCTCAAAATGTTTCTCCTCACGCTTTCACTTAGTTAATTACTTCGTGTAGGGTCTGCAGGTGACTCAGTGGAGAAGAATTAATAAATGCCTTAGATTTTCCTCAAAATGTTCTCTTCACGGTTTCACTCAGTTAATTACTTCGTGTAGGGTCTGCAGGTGACTCAGTGGAGAAGAA